CGAAGCTGTTTCGTCAGGGGCTATAGGGAAGAACTATTAACATTTTAATATCTTGTGTCAAATAACCCACTCTGCAACAGTGGCAGAAGTAGAATTATGAACTTAACTCATAGGACAAAATGGCGATGAATATCCATAAAACAACTATGTTTCCCCTCCGAATGTCTTTGACAATATTTTTGCTCTATGATCACTAAGCAAACCTGATCTAAATTATGCAATTTTACTGAATTTGCAAAAGGCCGAAAATTCAGTCAGTCAGTACTTCATGAATCATATTCAAAAGGTGTACTGCCACTCTTTCAGGCAAACCTAACTTTGTGCAGAGCAGAATTTATGAAACCAATTGTCCCAAAGCCACCGATGAATAAAAAATTTATATAAGCTTTATTGCACAAAGGGAAGTAAATCTGGTTTGTAAGAAATTCCTCTAAGGTTTACCCTCTAGATAAATCTTCTCTCTGAAAATAGGCTTTACATAGAGAACAGTGTTAGAATACTGTGCTGTTCTGAAAAGGACAATATTACAGTTAGCAAAATGTTCCTTGCTTTGTTAAATACTACCACTGCTTTTTTTTCAGAGCAGTCGTAGTACTAAATATTTATTCATTTAATTGTTTTGTGAGGCAATTTGTAATTATTCCGTAGATGTATCCTGTGTCAACTCAGTCTTTATCAGTCTCCTAATGAATGCAATAAAATGAAAAGCTTGAATTCTATCCTTTGAAAGGCGATAGAATAAACTTAATATGAAACACGCACGCAAAATTCCCATTACCAGATGTAAACGCACATACAGTACACAAGTCCAAAAAACATTTCAAGGCTACAACAGAAATTTCCCAAAACAAAAGGCCTCTAAAGATTTTAGTGGTTTGCTTCCCGTCATGCAGCTTGTTAGACATAATACGATTCTGCACAGTAACCTAGAAAAAAGAGACGTTAACAAGTGTGCATAATTGATTGCATATGAATACTTCCTCTGAATGAATAATCAGAGCATAATGTGCCATTTTTAACTGAATTAGGGGTCTCATGATAGTATGAGTAGCTCAGGGCAGGTTGTATTTGTTCCTCTTTTGTTGGCCACCTTGGTTACAGTTTCAGAGGACAACGAGTCTTTAAAATGTCAACATGTGTTTTGTGCTGGGAAAAGCAACCCCAGTGACTCACAGAGATGGAGAGATTAAATGAAGTATAGTGAGTAATAAGGTTTTCAAATATGTAAGAAGCAGAAAGAGTCAGTTGAATAGCGAGGCTTGATTTGTTACCTCCACCAAACCCTGTCTTGGTTTGTTTAGCAGCAGGAATAGATAAAACTACAAACAGATTTCTACGAGACTTGGTGGAAGGATGGCACATGGGGAAAGAAATCTGGAAATGTTGGTTGTGTCCAGATCATGATATTTTTTATCACTTTCTTTAACATCCCAAAATAAAGTTTACAGGGGATAATTCAAGGATCCTCTTTTTCAGATGTAGCCTCAAGGTTTAAGACTTGATCAATCAAAAGTTTACAGGTTGACGAATATGAGCATGCTGAACATCTCCCCACCTATCCAGTCATCAAACATGAGCCAAGTTGGCACAAAGTTGCAGAGCAACCTTGAGTCAGGCTTCATAAATCCCAGCACAGGCCTGTTATATTACTGGAATCACTACACAATACATTTGTGTACTTTAAGCATTGGCCATATAGTTCAAATTAAGGTAAATCTTACTGCCTACTGTGTTATTGTAGACATAAACAGGATAACTTATTTTTTTCAGAAAGACAGGTCAGTAAATACATTTTATAAGTTTTGAGCAGAAAAACTGCACAAAGCCTCAACCTCAATATCACACGACACCGTTGAGATGATGTGGAACCAGGCCAGACCTTATTGCCCAATTTCAGTGCCTGACCTTCCAAATGCTCCTGCGGCTGAATGCCAGGTTCTAATAATTCTTGGAGAGCTGTCATTGAACTCGGAGACTGTCACAGCAGCAAATCAATGCCAATAGCTCCAGACCAAAATGTTTTCACATGAGAGTGATGTTTGAGTCTGTTCGCACCATCATATCTTTTGTGTTTTATATGGAATAGACGTCCATCTCATGGCAGGTCTTGTCTCACAATTGATGATTTGTTATCTACCTTCTGAATTTTGCTAATTATTCAGACTGATTCTGTCTCATGTTTCTGTTAATGTCTCACATTATTTTATCTTGTTTATTTTATCCAGAGACTGTGTATAAAGATGGACGACATGAGTGTTTCCCAAACGTGACAAATAGTTTTTGTTGCCCCCCTGGTGGCTGGCCAAGACATAAACCCAGCCTCTTCCATCTTAGTGGATCGGACATGGACCAAAATAAAAGGTCTAAGTAACCATTAAATACATTTTTCTCAAAGATGGTTCCTGTCATTTTAGGTAGTTCCTACCATAGTGATTTTTGTCCTTGTGCCCTATGTTTGGTTTTAATTGTTATTTCATCCTATAAAATTAAGGAAAAACCTCATGATTGTCAGCTGAGACTAACTCATGATTGGTCGAGCGCATGTATTGATATTGCAGTCAACACCACAATCACAACTGCACTAGTCTAGACTCCAAAGGACATCATCCATCTCAATACATATATGATATATACATGTATGATTTTAACTTATCTTCTATGTCTTTTACTGCTTTCCTCTCTCACATTGTTTCAACTTTCTTTTACCCATACATAGGTTTTGTCCTTTTTACTATGATTGTTGTTTTTAATGTGCTACACACTGGAAATAAATCTAACTTGACCTGATTTTGCCCGGAAAACAATAAATTCACATGTCATAAGAGACAATCTCCTCCTGGCGTTTAATGTGGTATGGTTGAACAGTAGATGACCACCATGGATAGACATAAGATTGTATCATCAGCATAAACCACACTGCAAATCAAATAGGAAGAGCAGCAAAGCAACCTGTTGTTTTTGTGATTCCAACAGCTTCTCAAGCCTCAACAAGCCTCAACATGCAAAATGAGCAGATCCAATTTCTGTCTTTTCTGCATCGAAACCCTCTCTCTTCATTACTAGTGACCTGTTTAAGAACCATAGCTTTACACAGTTTCACATGAAGTGATGGGGTCTTAACCTAAAGTTCTTTAAGATGAATTATGTTGTTAGGATTACATGATGTTAGTATTGTGGAGAAATAATCATGTGATCAGGCTGTGGATGCAGAACAATGACATTTCAACGCCTCTCTTAATGTCTGATTTCTTAAGGATCAATAGGACTCATGACAACAAACCTGAGAGGCAATACGCTAAAAATTAAATTAAATTAGAGTCATGAAAGTCTCTTAATTCACAAGCTAAACTGCCAAAAAGGCAAATAAGCTTGGCTATAATGGGCACAATTAGCAATGCAAATTATCCTTAGCAGCCTGAGCACATAAATTAGCAACGAGCAGACAGCCTGACATTTCCCTCGCTGAATGTGTTACAAACAACTACTGGAGTTACCATAAATACCAATACTCCCAGAAAAGCTCTAGTTCACACCCACATCTGCCCAGACTCATGAAATAACATATGTAGTGAGGAGTCAAGTAGAATTTGACAAAATGTATTAATTTTGTCATAATCAAACGACAGGACGGGGGCAATTGATGGGCCAGTCAGATTTGAGCTAGGGCCAGAGCTCTGCCCCTGGATCCACCCCGGGGGCAATGACAATAATTTGGCTTTACTTTTGAGAAGCTGCCATGTTGTCCATTTTTATTTCAAGCCTATTCGTTGATGCTATGATATCGTGGGGTATCATCTGTTTGGTTCAGTTCATCACAAGTGTGATGAAGTGCCTCTTTTACTTTGGCCCCAATCAGTTATTCCTGACCTTACCAGTATTATCTTCTGGCACCCCCCACACACTGCTGATGCATTGCAGAGGACAGTTTCTTACATAGGTGAAATGGAAATCGATTTGTATCTTCGATGAGAAAATTGCAGCAGGCTCTGCATCGAACAGAAGAATGGCAACCCGATAAAGTGGGACAGTTCTGTCATAGTTTCAGTTCAGTTCTCAAGCACAATGTTTTAAATTAAACAATTAAAAACATTCAAGTGGTGACTGTTATTGTTTGAGTCATACATACACCTGCTGTTTTATGTCAAAATACAGGATTATCATGCAAAAAAAGAAAAAAATCGCTAGCATGCTAAGGTTAGCAGTAAGTTCTGGGTCTACCCCAGGGTCACCTCCCATGGAAAGCCCCAGGAGGAATCCTGATTAGATGCCCGAACCACGTCAACTGTCCTTATTGGACAGTTCTTCTCCCAGCTCTCACCAAATGTCCAAACTCCTCACCCATCCTTTAGGTTGAACAGTTCTAATATTCTTAAACTAGATTTCAACTTTTGGGTGGATTTGGCGACTCTATAGTTACTGGTGGGGGTTAACAACCCATTGGTAAAGTTAACCCAGTTTTGCGTCAGCTGACCAAAACAGTGATTTTTATCAATTTCAACAACTCTTCATTATAAAATATAAAACATAATATAAGTTGATATATTTGTTCATTAGGAGTTTACCGGCAGGACTGGCACCAGGAAGTACTCGAACTGGGCAAATGCATTCATCCCTCCAGCTACAACTTCCTGAATGAGAGGAACAAATGCACTTTCATTGGAGTCCACAGAGAGATGAAACTTTAAACATAACACACTGTCTCAAGATGAGAATCAAACCACGAGAATGGTTTTAAAATGCCACCTTCCTTGGATGGTTCAGTGAAAACAACCGGTTTGTTTAAATGACAGAATAACTGAATAAATCAGCCGCTCAGCAGCTGTGAGGCATGGTGGTAAAAGTGAGATGGGCAGTGAGCGGTTCACTGGATCTGGGTGTGCTTCCAGAACGCTGAATTATTCCTCTGGTACATAACAAAGCCTTCAGTGGTGTAAAAACACATTTTTGAAACCAGCTAATTTCATGCTGGTGTGTTCAAAAGTGAAAGAAATGTGTCTCACCTCTCTCTGGAGCCGGCGTCTGCATGAATCATTCGCGTGGATTCATAAAACCTTCCTTCCTCCCATCCCCAGTCGAGGTCAGATACTGTAAGTCACATCGACAGGACTTGAAGACCAATGAAGGATGAGAGCTTCCTCTTCAAACTGTGACACATCCTCTTTAGTTTATATCCCCACAGAATATGAATGTGTGACTTGACAGCTTTGGGGACCTTTGCTTCATTATTTTACTGAGATTTACTGAGTAGAACAAGTAGACGAAACACGGCCGTTATATATTCAGCAGTTTACAAAGAGTCAGAACTTAAGAGGCCGAGCTGTGGAAGTGCTCGAGGATGAACAGATGAATTCCTCTCTACTCGAGAGGTCGGCCATTTTACAAAGCTTGGAGCACATTACACCAACAACCCGAGTGATGAACGACCAACGAGTGGCTGGTTTCACCATAAAACAATATACACAAAACAAAGGCATTTACATGAGATCATCATTGGTGCTTAAAAAGAAAAAAACAGAACCACAACACAACCACAACCACAAAAGCTACAACACAACCACAAAGTGAAGCTACTCACTGTGTAGTCAACAGATCCAGCCAAGCTAGCTGAAAATCTGATGCCCGTCTATTTAAGCTATTACGGTACAGGTGCCTGTTTTTCCTTATTGTGCGCTCCGGGTACCTGTACCGTAATATCTCACTTAGACACGCATCTCGACCTCAGTAAGCAGCTCGACTTGTCTCATTGTCCACATCCGCTTGTGTCTCACTTCCGTTTTGTGCTTGTTTCTGTTGTGTGGCTCTCGCTGTTGTGTTGTTACTTCTGCATTCATGAACAGTGGCTGCATCTGTCACTGTTTGACACCTCTGGTGCAGCTGGGCCTCTGCACATCTGGGACTTTTATTGTTTTATTTGTTGCTGTCAGATGGAGGGTCACCTCTTCTGATGTCGAGATTCTGGACATCAAACATGATCGACCACAGGAAATGGAGTCAGCGCGGCTTACCTCCAGCAGCCACCTGAACTGAGGAGCGATGGCCTGTTTCGACAGCTGGACAATGTCAACGAGGTGTTTGTAGGACACCTTTCGTGTGCACGCTCAGCAACTGATGGTGCGACCTTGAAATACTCAAAGAATACACAATAAGACAGTAATTTGCATGTTCTAAGTCCAATTTTTATCAGAAGCTAAAAACATGTCAGTGCATGTCAGATGTTATTTTGTGATACTGTCCACAAATCAGAATTTCAATTAGGCTCATTTACATTTGTTGTAAACACACTGCTAATCTGGTCCCTGGATGAGTGGATCCAGAAGCCAGATTAGAGGTGGATGCTGGATGTAGGGGTGCTGAGGGGGTCAGTAATGGTCGACCCACTCAGCGTCGTCACACCTAAACCGTGTTGGATTTACGAGATGCTTGAAGAACACAAACCAGAACCTGTGTGTTTAACAAATCAGTTTACTGCTCATTGATGGAAAGAGTGAGAGACTGGAACCGATGCCGCTGCAGATTTTGAAGCTGATTCAGCTGCACAAGCAACAGCTTTTCTTTGAGTCTCCTGCACATTGACGAGACAGGGAGCACTCGGAGAAACCTCACTGCATTTATGACTCCAGTGTGTGAATGAAAGTGTGGGAGGAACAGAGTGATCCCAGTGTGTGAGGTTGTTAACGCTGCATTCAAGCATGAAAGTAGCGATGTAATGATAGGCCTGTGACCGGGGAGCGTCCGCAGAGCTGTTCAGAGCAAAGTAGAGGAGACTAATTTTTCTGACAATCTTGACTTGATTTAAGTATCAAAGCGTTTATCTCTGTCGTGCTCACACAGAAGGCAAAAATCAAATGAAAGCCAATTAGACACCAGAAACAATTCAAGTGTTTAACACCAGCTGCTGAGTTCTGTTTTCAGTAATGGAAGCTGAATTTATATTTATCACAATATGTCAACACACGGAGCCTTGATAGAGACATCGTCACAGTCAGTACCCCTGTTGCTATAGTAACTGAAGTCACAATGACACACGATCCTCAGGTGATCCAGGCCTCAATGAGAATGACACGTCTGGAGAGATGAGAAACACGGCGGAGGCAGAGAAAAGAAAAAGGTGTCTCCTCCCCAACGTTGTAATCAATCAGTGACCTAATCCACTTTCATTTTAACAACTTCAGTCACAGACGAAAGTTCAAAAAGAAAGATTTCCAAGCTGTGGTGAGAGGAAGTGAAGCTGCATCCAACATTTCAATGCCTAGAGTAAAAGTGCAAAATAGTGAGATAAAAAAGTTGATGTTATTTGGTGTTCCTGTGTGCGTGTTTCTGTGCCAACGAACAAATAAAAACACAGATAAAAGTTTTATTATTAACTAAATTAACTTTTTATTTTCTTCAGTACGCGCACAGACATTTATATTTTAGCTCTAAAATGGCATTTTTATACAGGCTTGCCACCTGACACACACACACACACACACACACACACACACGGACTGCCTCACAAAAATATAAAATTATAATAAATTCAATTGAAAAAATCCTTTAGAGAATCACAAATGCAGTTGTAATCAACTTGGTAAACTTTTTGTTTCACAGATACAAAACAAACAAAAATAAGAAAAGGAAAAACATAAAGATCTGGTTTTACTTTTCTGGAAAAAGGTGCTTGTCAAACATTAAAAAATACATTGGAATAATCACTCATTAATAAATTAAAGATCTAATCATCCACTGTTGCTGCATTTCAAGTCTTTTTGTAAAACTCCCTCCGGGGGTAAAAATGTTCAGATGTAATTTTTGTTTTCATTGGTCGTCCTGACTTGTCAGTTCGGGTTATGTCGCCACCCGTTGGTTTGGTGTCTTCACGTTGACGAGGACCATCTGTGTATGTATGGATTCTGTCTGAGTTCATGTTCAGTTTGGGGATAAAGTGACAACACCAGCGACTCACAAAACAAGCAACAAACAGGGACTTCAGTATTGACTTACAGATGCAGACTCTGACTGATGCTCAACCAAAACACAAAAATAGTTGTTGTCGACAGTAAGTTCTCCATATTCTTTATCAATGAAGTTGATGCATGTTGAGCTGATTTTCCAGACAGATTTTAAGATGTATTATTTCATATTTTTGGTCAAAAACGTTTTTAAGACACCACCATCCACTTATCAATGGCTTAAACACCGATACTGGCAAATATGTTAACAAACAATTATCTCCTGACAAGAAACATTAGCATCGTCTCTAAGTTAGGTACATTTTGCTGTGATTGTGCAGTTTATTTATCCAAGATGAGTTAAACTCTTGAGCATATTGATTTATGTAGATATTAAGTCTTGTGAGAATTATTTTCCGGTGTCTTTGCACTTTGTTAACTGTGCGCTATAGCTCAACATTTCTACAGTTTGTTACAGTGCAGTGTTTCTACAGTTCATCTCGTGGGTGTGTTTCCTGCAGCCAGTGTTTGTAGACAGCCACAGGATCTATGTTCCAGTGCTTGTGGAAGGAGATGGCCTGCTGCAAGGAGATCAGCGTGTCGTTGTAGTCATCCGGTCGGGCCTATAACATCAAAAACAAGGCGTTTGTCAGTGTGTGTGCTCGTGTGTGTGTCTGCTTAATGATTCACGTTTCATTTATTCAGAGGATTCCCACTGCTGCAAACTATCTGACCTCAGGGTAGCGCAGCTCAATGTTCTGTTGTTTTAGCCTCCATTACCCACAAGCTATTCTTTCTGTCTGTTACCCCCTCCACTCAGGGAGAGATAACATGACGCGAGCATCGTGCAGCGCGCCACCTGATATCGGAAAATGAAGGTCAATAAATAAATTTGGCTCTCATCAATACTTGGAGCATTTTTTGTCTTAGTAAGGAGTTTCTGTTCTCATGTCTGTGAACCAGAATGGTGAGAGAAGATTTCAGGAAGGCAGCAGAAACAAAGAGAGAGAGAAACATAACACCACAGCATTACACATGAATCCTTCACTCTGTTCCACAGACAGACAGACCTGCTTCCTCCTGACTCCCTCACTGCAGAATAAGACTGTTTCTTGGTCAAGTTGATGATTAGTTGCCTTCATCTGCCTGCACTGATAGATCCTTCTTCAGTGCAAACAACTAACAGAATTTACGTAGGCACAATAACGTGATGCGTTTTCAACCTTTATAAAATTCCCCCAAAAACAGAAGCTCAACATTAAAAACAAGAGCTGATTCTCTGAGACAACAGGCAGGTTTCTGGCTTGAGCGAATGATGTATGATGAATGTTTTCTAGAGTTCGAACATTGGCGAGAGCATTATTACAATAATAAAACAATGGAGGCAGATTTAACTTGACGAGCTGCATGAGGAGGTTTCTGCAGAGACAAAGCTCAGAGAGCGTTAATGAAGTTGTTGTGTTGAGTTTATAAAAGCAGCTAATTTCTTCAAGAGGGTGGTTGAAATAATTGAGTCATTGATTAATTATTACTGGAAACTTAATCCAACACATATAATTTAGGAACTGTATGTAAAGGAATGTGACATCTTTACATTTTCAATTTATTACAAGTGAGCAAATTGTCATTTCCCCTATAATTAGTAGCGAGTTATATATTATTTCAGTTAGAACAGTTTTATTTCAGTTTCTTTACAGGGGGTTGCAAAAAACTGGCATCTGTAAAGTTAACATGATCATCCAACCTTGTTTTTATTGAGTTCATCTGAGGGTTTACAGGTGAGAGAGCATAACATGTGCTTGGTGTGTGTGTGTGTGTGTGTGTGTGTGTGTGTGTGTGTGTCTCTACCTGGTGGAACAGGGGACTGTGTGTGATGGGGATACCGAGGGAAGTGAAGCACCGGCCCAGCACCATGTCATCAGGAGCGTCATCAGTGTAGCATCTACAACCACTGGAGACGAGCCTGAAGACTGCAGGCCTACTAAGCACCATCCTACACACACACACAGATTTTCAATTATAAAGGGACGTAATTGACAAAAATGTAACTGGTAGTGGATTTATTTGCCACTGTGTGATCATCTGACCCACATTTAGTAGCTGTTTAATCAAGTAACCATGGTAATTAAATATTTTCCTATTTCTTTGGATTTTGAAGAATCAGCATATCTTGATTTATTTGTCCCCTCCCCCACTCGGACAGGATTCAGCCTATCAATACTTTGTGTTTAATTACTGTCAGATCCAAGTAGCTTTTGTGTCGTGCATCTAAAAGATGTTCAATCCCTTCAAAACTGTATTTGATTCCAACCACACTAAAATGTTAAATGTGCAAAATCCTATGACTTTCCCGATTTTTTTTTTCTCAGCCTCATTGGATTGTCACGCTACAGCAGCCTCACCCTCCTCCTCCTGTGGTGTAGCTGTATCCGTGGTTAACCAGGCTGTAGCCATATCTCTCCCCGAGGCTCACCGCTTCCTTTGGATCATAGCAACGCAGCAGTCGCCGCAATCTGGGTAAACTTTAGACGGAGCAACTTCAGACGGACAAAGACTAAATTTATCTTCTTGGAGTCATAAGTCAAAGAAAAACTCTTGTGCCAGTTACCTGATGAGTGTATCATCATCAACAATGAGAAGCCAATCAGCCTTTGGCACAGTGTCACTAAGGAACCGCCTCAAGATGGCAAATGTCTTCCCACAGTGTCCTGCAGGGATACAACATAAAGACAGCAAGTGTGAGAATGATGAAGAAGGTCACCAGCTCTGATCCTGGAGGTCTGTGACTCATAAAACCTCAAACCTCACAAATGAGAGAGTGAGAGTTAGAGAGAGAGAGAGAGAGAGAAAGAGAGAGACTGTGTCTGAGCGCGTCTGTGACTAAGACTTTCTCACAAAATGATTCATCCACTTTTAAGAAGTCAGAGAGGAATGCTCACCAGCTTGAACGGATGATTTGGAAGAAAAAGAAAAATATGTCCATATCAAGAGAAAAAAAAGAAACAAACTGAAGTGGAGATGAAGGAATGTAGAAGAGAAAATAAGATAAACAAGACAACAATGAAGAAATGTACTTCAACAGCCCTGCAATAAATCCTGAATCTGGTTTTATGTTCAGTTATAATTTATGGAGAAGATAATCATTTTGACGGATGTTCAAAATGTTGAAGTGAACTTCAGAGAAGTGTTTTAGTCCTTCCTTATTAATATAAAAAGAAATGATAGAAACAGTCCTTTTACTGCAATACAAATCATCAGCAACACAAACTGCTGCCTCTAAAATAATCATAAAATGTAATAAAGACCTCATAAAAAACTATCAAGAAGAGATAAACATTACAACCATCATGAAGGACTGTTGTATCAGACTGTGTTCATTTCACTGAGGTGTCACTAACAAACCAAATCACTGTAGGTGTTCATGAGAGACAACAACAAAAAAAGAGCTGTAATCAGGGGTTAGCTCAGACAAGAATACACTCAATACACAGATGTCTGTACAATGTTAAAGCCACAGATTGGTGAATTGATTAACATTGGTTATTTCCTTACACCTGTAGAGAGCTGAGGTATATGAGGCAGTGAGTGATTGGAGGAAAAATGTGCAGATGTGAAGATGTGAGCCACTTTGACTTTGGCTGCATATCTGTCAGAGTGCAGAGGCCGACCATGGTCCACCGCCAAGGACGTGAGCTCCAGCCGGTGCATGTACGTCATTAACCTGAAGAAGAGTTGCTGCAGGATGTACTGTGGGAGGGCGGCAAGTCAGCAGAGGCAGTGTGTTGCTCTGAGCTATATCCTGCTGAATTCTGGGATTCCAAACGTCTTGTGGAGTCCGTGTCTCGACAGGTCAGAGCTGCCTGTGGTTTTTATGAACTACACTTGAATTCACTTTAACTTGAAGATCAGTGAACAATGTGGGGATGGAACACAGAGTCATATGAGGATAAAAAAATCACAGGCATGTCAGTGGCTTTGGGGGGAACAATCTTGTTTTGAGCTAAATGCTAAAGAGTCTACCCGGACAGCATCTTTGCCATTAATGCGCAGGTCTGTTCACCATCTATTGACGAAGTCTCTTTCACAATCCAGCCTCCTATGTCTAAGCTGTGGATCTGTGCTGCAGGCTTCAATAAACGCTGCTGCTGATCAGCTCACCTCTCTCAGTGTTGGGCACTCCCAGGCTGACGGTGGGTATGGAGGCGTCAGCGACATCACTGTAATACTCCAGAAACCCAGCGTCCCTCTCCCATGTAGCTTTCACCACTGGCACTGTGAGGAGTGGGGGGGGGGGGGTCATCAACCAAGGTCCAACAATCCCCTTACATTCAATCAAATTTCGCCAAATTACATTCACCAATAGTTATCAGTCCCCTGAATGATATTTTTTTTCATCAAGATCCGTGGATTATTCTGACTTCTTTCTCGTCTCATAAACTGCTTGGCGGAGGTCATTAATGAAACAGTATTCTTCTAAAACACACACCTCGCTCCCTGTGGAATTTCTGGCAAGTTTTCACAGCAACAAACACGTCATTCTTCGAGACCGACTCTCCCTAAAAAGACAGAGAAGAGAAAAACGGTCAATGTCCCTCTGCACAGAAAATACGTTGCATGCAAAAAAGAAGATGGAAAAAAAAGAAGTGCACAGGAGCACACAGAGTGAGGCGCAGCATATACAGAATGTAATGGAGTCAAAATTGAGTCTGAATGGCAAAATGAGGCACACTCAGTTCTAACAGTATTATGTGGTGAAATGAATCACAGCAATATTTTAGTCTTCCATTTCGGATTTCTGGACAGATGTATGATTTTCTTTTTTCAGTGACTTCTCATTTCAGGTGTGAAAATTACCAATAGTAATCAGTGTGTTATTACTCATTCACATCTTTCGACCTTTGCAGAATATTCAGTACAAATGAATATGTTTCTTTCCTGTGTGCTAGATTCCTGATGTGTTCTTTGTGTCCGATGGCTGTCGAATGTGATAGAAAATGTGTCATTATTTTTTGGCAAATGTGACTGAAAGTAAATGTAATGCATGGTCGAGTTTGGAGTACAGCTAAATTAGAGGGTATGTGCAGGTTTTTATAAACACAGGAAACCTGCTAAAATAGGTGAATGATTGATCCAAGCATTAGGATGTAAAGGAATAAATAAGAGTTGCACATACACAGTTAGGCAGGTAGGTTGTAAATGTGGTAGCGCAGTCGTCTCTTGACTCTGTGCAGAACTCTGGAACTGATGTCAGCTTTGGTCCACGTCCTTCCTCCCAAATATACAGAGCAATCTAAAAGCACAGGAAAAAGAAGCTCGGCTGTCGGGAACAGGGATTAGTGACGTATTTTTATCATTGTTCTGCGTCTGATAAAGTAAAAGACTGCACCAGTATTTACAGACACTATCATGATGTATAGGAACCAGTCACTGTCGGTTCAGTGTCGGACGAGTACAACAGCTCCTCAGACAGTGAAAATCTCTGACTCCCTGGCAGCTCTGGACGTCCTCAGAGACTTGGTCTTGGTCGTATACACTTACACAGCCAATGATTTATTTTTAATTACCCATAAGTCTTCGGAGAATTTTAAAAGGGGGCCGCTCCGGCTGACGCTATGAATTTTTAAATGTATCAGTCCTGTTCATTTAAAGGAGGAGCAACATGATGAATTAATAACTTTGCAGGGTCTGGAAACCACAAACGCAAAGTGACTCACAACTTTGATTTGACCTTGATTTCACTGTCAAATTACGAACTGCGGGAATTTAAAAGCTTCACGCAGCAAACATGCATTAGATTGGTTTGATGCCCAAAAAGTCAATTTCTGCTCTTTTAATCTTCTGTTGCAAAACTACTGAATCTTTTACATCATCAACTGTTCGTCCCGCACACTCACACACAAATACCTATTCAAAGCTGCAGGGGTTGAGTCTGAGAGCTTTTTTAACTACAGAGTCATTAGTCACTGGGGCAATGCTGTCTGTCAACATCTCGTGATCAGCAAGGGGCTGGAGGGATGTTGACACTGATGATAATGATGCAAGTTTTAAGAATAACTACATTATTGTTATGGTGACGGGCAGGAGGACACACACACACACACCATTCAAGAAACTTAATGTTACCTCATGTTTCAAGTCGATGGTAAAATCTGACTTCAGGTGGCCGTGTCGGATCCGCTCAGTGAGTCTGAAAACAAATGTGAAAGATGTTGAAAGACGAGGCATAGGACGTCCCGATTCAAGTAGCTGGTTTCATTTTGGTTCCTTTGTCTCCTGTTTTAAATAAAATGTGAGTTTTTTTGAAGTATGAATACACAGGCAATGGAAAGCAGATGGAGCAAGTTAAAAGACTTGATAAATGCATTTGTAGAGAATTCAGCAAATGAGTCTTCATTGTTCATTTAATGTTATAAATCTGATGAAGTGCCTGTTTAATATTAATTTAGTGCCCGTTTAAAGTTCAGGCATATACAGCCGAAAGGTGACTTTTATTTTCTTGTTTGTATGAGCCAGTTATTTTTATTTATTAGACTTGAGTGTCTTTAATTGTTGTAATCACGTTTATTCCTACAACGTTGATGACAAAAAGCTTTGCTGCAGCTGTGACCCAACTCACTTTCAAAATAACAAAGAAAGAACACACACACACACACACACACANCACACACACACACACACACACACACACACACACACACACACACCTGTGGAGCAGAGGCGTGCTGAGTGCCCAGCCTGCTGCAGGGTCAGGGTAACCAAAGGAACTGGGGTCTTCAGAGAACGCATAATGGTGGATGATGGAAGCCTCGTTGTCATGGAGACGTTTACCCAAAAACCATTCCTGTGAGGTGCGAAAAGGAAAAAATGTTGATATGAGCAGAAGGTTCCTCTGAGCTGAGGACTGTTGTACGTTTAAGTGTGAGCAAGTTTGTGTTTGTATGTTAACGCACCTTCTACTTGTAAGATACCTTCATTAATCCTTTACGGCTAAATAGACGCATTAGTATTTGTGATACAGGTCAAGAATCATCATTAAGTTACATCAGCTGATAACGTTTCCAGAATGTGATGAATTCTCTGACTGTTCAAACCTCTTGTTAACAATTAAGCCTGGAAAATGAATGAATGTCGTCTGAGGAAAACATCTGACATATGACACATGCAGGTGCTGCGGTCAGATCAGGGTGAAACTGAGCCAAAATCACCCAAAACTTTTATATCGTCGGTTTTGTTGGTTATGTGTTTTTATTTCATCGTTGTGTTCGCTTCTCACCTTGTGGCCTTGATACCTGTGGAGGACCTGCAGCAGAGCAGCCAGTGAGACTCTGGTCTCTTCCTCTATGAAGAAAAACCAGGAAGCTGATTGGCCGCATGTGGCAGAGAGACTGGAGAGATCCATGAGAAACCATTAGTTCATCATTAATGCTTCATTTAATGAATCTTTGTGGATTGTGATTTGATTATTTTGTAATAATCTCCACATGTTTAACACTCACTGAGGAAGCGCAGGGAGGATACTCCAATCCCCTGCATACTCCGACAGCTCATGAAGAAGAACAACAACCGGAACTCCCTGAAACAAAACAATTACATTTTTGTCAAACTTTCAACATCCTGCTGTCGCATTAATACAATTCAGAGCAAAACATTTCCTTTCAGTGCATTTAAATTAAGATGAGTGTAAAAAAAAAACTTACTGAAATCTGGGACAAAACACATGAACCCATCTAAACACAGCTGGGCACAGGAAATAACAAGCAGGAATAACTCGGGTAGAAAAAGAAAACGGGATTCTACAGTGACACTGACAGATGATCTGCTGAATACACCTGAACATGCCGGTGGGGGGGTGAGACCTTAATCAACAACATGTTGAGTGACAACATCTGCACAACCTGCTGGGTGCAATTTGTTTTTTAATTGATTTGTTATTGGCTCAAAATGAAAAGGAAAAAAACAAGGAGAAAGAGTTGTTTCAGAAGATTCAGTTCCGGCTCGCGGCCCTTTTCTGCGTGTGTTACCTGCGCTCTCTCCCCCTTTCACGCTTAAACTCTGGCCTATCAACAAACTTCTAAAAGTGTCACATGTTGAAGAAAAGCTGAAGGTATGAGACCAAACACCATTAACCCCATTCCCCATCACAATGAGCTGATGGAAGCAGTGCTGGAGGGAGGAATGACCCGAATGCAGACACAAGGCAGTGCTGATGGACTCTCATAAAGAAAAACAGGTTTACTGGCAGATGGCGATTTAACAGGCTGATGAGAAGACAGACAGGCAGACAACTGGATCACATGAGGAACACAAAGGAGCAAAGATGAGAAACTGGGAACAGGTGTATGTGCGTGTGCCGACACACACACAGCTCTTCAGGGGTCCACTTCACATTCTGAGGGGATATTTTTACCACCTGCTGTGGTGTTGTGGTAAGATGTGAGACGCAAAGAACCGAGGCTGCGAGCGGGGGCCAAATGAGACAGATCAGTAATGAACCACAGGCGCCGATATTTAAGGATAAAAGCTTTTACTTGTGAACAATAACAAACTGAAGCCACGTGGCACGAACCAAATGTTAAAGTTAAATTATAAATATGTAGCCAGGCTGCGGAAAAGACAAATTAATACGTAAAACAAGCTGCATGTCAGAGTTTACGAGAGTTTGCCAACTTTAATCTTCTTGAAATGACACCTGCATACACGTCATTCAGGAAATGAGTGAAGCATAACCTGCCCTTGTTAAAAAAAAAAAATGAAAAAAAAAAAACAGATTTCTGCAATCAAGCTCTATCAAATCCAAAAATAAGCTTTGATTCGACACACTCGCATCACAGCCCATACATGCTGAGATGCGTGTGACTTGGATCAGGTCACATTTTATGACTAATTAATGATGTACATGACAAACCAAATCCTAATTTCCCCCTGAGGATAAATTAAGTATTTCTGAGTCTCGACCTCCTCTGGTGACACATCCATCATCTTTGTTTCCGTCTGCTCTCATGTGCCTCTCTGACATATCACCCAGTGTATTATCTGCTGTTCACAGCTGCGACATGACAACACTCATTGAATAAGAGATTGTTGACGGGCAGCTGTATATTTCACAACTGATGTTTCTCAACATTCTCACTAGCTGCGTCTTCTCTGTCTCTCAGGGAGAAATTGGTGAGTAAACACCTCGAACCACCAACAACAACAACAACGACGACGACAACACATGGCTTCAATAAAAAACAATCACAGACGTGTCAAATTCAATCACATCCGTGTCGCTTCCATCACAAACACGACTTTATGTGATTTTTCGAGCCGCTGCTACACATCTACTGTTTACAGGCTGCTGCGTTTTTGCCTTAAATACAGATAAAGACTCAGCGAAGTTCAAAGATGATGGTAAATACAATTCAGACGACAATTCCTATTCCTATCTTAGGTTTATCTTAACTTATCTCAATTTATCAACTTAACTTGGCTTGACTTAAACTAAATGTATCTCATCTGATCTCTATCTTAACTTGACTTGACTTAAACTTAACTTATCCAGAACAGAGTCGGACATGTTTCATTTCTACACATGTTGCTGTAGAAATCACTGAACAGAGCTTCTCCTTCTTTTTTCTATCCAGGAGTCTTTTGAGGATTAAAAATGATGTTGGAGGACAAATCTAAGACTAGAGTGGGACTCTCTTTATTTCACAACATCCTCTCCTGTCAGCAGAAGATCTAAACTTCTGTCTCTTCTCTACTTAATTTCAAGAGGTCCCCTGCAGACAGATGTTGTGAACAAGCGTTCCTCCCGACTCAAACAGCGGAGTTCTATGACAAGGGGGACATCTATTGGTACCAGTGTAATACCACAGTGTAACACAAAAGTAAAGGATGCAAGTAAAACCCCTGACTTTTTGTGTGTGTGTCAGTGTCACTTGTACACATTGAAAATAAAAAGCATGTAGCATCATTATCCTGTTAATGCCAGCACCCTAGATCACACGTCTTTCCAAACTCCTCATGGTGATTACAATATTTTACTGAACTGCTCTTTATAAACCTGTTACTAAATCATGTGCCTCATTTTAAGGGACCAATAACCATCCAGGGCCAGAGAGGTGTTACCTGTCCAAGTTCTGCCGCCTGCTGCAGAATCTCCGTCCTCCTCTGGACCCCTCGACGGGCGTGGTAGGAGTTTCTCTGACTCTGGATCACAAAGACCACCTCCTCCAGTGCTGAGAAACACACTCACAGAGAAGAAGAAGGGATGAGTGGGAAGAGTAAGGACTCGTGCGGATGCAAAGAGACAGGGAGAAGTGAAAGAATCAAACAGGGATCCAAAAATGTTTTATATATAAATTCTAAATGGTTCCTAATTCATGTAATTACAGTACGTTACATGCATGTCAGCTGTTTCATTGACTTTCACTAATTCCTCTAAGATGACAAAAGATCTCTTTTTCTTTTACAACCACTTATGACTCATCGTTACGCTTCGGTTATTGTCCTGATTAAACAAACGAGATAAAACCTGTTTTATGAGCTGTCAGGTGGATTTTCTTTCCTGTTCTATTTCATTTCTTATTGAAAGCAAAGCTAAGCTGGCTGGCAGGTGGCTGTAGCATCCTATGAAGCGTACACACACACTCATGACATGTCAATCATCTCATGAAGTTCTCAGTAAGAAAGTGAATACAATTTACAATATTTTGGAGTCTTGGTTGAACTTTTTACTCACTTGCAAAATGTCAATAAAAAACAGTGGCATGGAAAGTGAATGCACCACGAAACATTAGTTTGGTTGTGTAGTGTGTGTCTGTGTGTGTGTGTGTGTGTGTGTGTGTGTGTGTGTGTGTGTGTGTGTGTGCTTCTTGGGTCAAAGCATCAGAACCTCTGTGGTGGAATTCCTCACTCACCAGCAGATCTGTGTGCAGTGTGCGCCTGGTGCTCCGCTGCCTGCGGGCAGACAAAGTTGATTTAGTCTGACACACACTGCCAAGGCACATGATGAAGCATGATCACAGCAAGAATCTGGGGGCGGCACTTACATGAGCACAACCAGTGTGTCTGTCTTCAGCAGAGGGACCTGAAGACAGTGAGACAGATGCAGCAGTGGTGTCAAAGCAATATCAACATAATAATAGAGTTCATATCACTGGACATTGATTTTGGTTTTGAACAGATTAAGTCACCTTGAGCTCATAACTGTTGCTGATGAACATTATTAAACATATTTAATATATTTTTCTTCACTTTGACCATCACAAGTACAAACCTTAGATATTAGCATGAGCCCGCAGCTCAACACTTTGCCAAATTTTAAAAAAAGGAAACATTTCTGACTTTTTCCGTCCCAATAGAGATACTGATACCTGAGCTATGGGTATCAGCAGATGTTGACCAAGATTCAACATGTTTATCTGTCTTATTCATTTGCCAAATACAAATAGAGTGAAAAACTTTTATAGGAAAGCTCCATCGGCGTGAGAGAGAGTTAGGTAGAAGTTAAAATAGGTAAGTAATAAAAAGAAGAGGCAATAAGATGGACAGGAGTAATGATAAGATAAAAACAGTGATGAAAAATAAAATAGTAAATAACAAAATCATACACAACAATAGAATAAGAATAAAACATGAACACCCACACACACATTAATAGCACATTAGATTCTTGTTAATATCCTGTGCTCATTATTCCTGCATATTTAAAGACCTCACCCAAACAAAATTAACTGAAAAATGAAAACATTTCAACATTTACATAACTTTGTCCTTAAAAACAAACTGAAACACTAACATGTGTTATATTATATGGACAGCATTTTACTTTGAAGGCCAAATCGAAGCGACTTCCGGTCTCTCTCAGCCCCTCACTTCCTTGGAGCTAGCCGGTTGGCTAGCACCTCATGCTAACACCATTGGCTGTAGCTGTAGATGTGGCTAACAGATTAGCGGTGTCGGTTTTAGCTGCACTTACCCAGAACCAGGAGCAGCACCGCGAAGAGTTGACATCCTTCCGCCACATCCCGGAGCGACATGACTCCTCCGCTGCTCCGTCTAAAGTCTCCGTGTTTTCATGGCGGCCGGTGAAACGTGTTAGCGGCTACATGCTAACAGCGGCCGAGCACGGTGGAGCTGCAGCGACCTCTAGCGGACACCAGGTCACTACCGCTGCAGCTCAGTGAAGCTCAGACACTTTTTGTATTAGTACACATGAAACTGAGTACAGGTACTTTGTTACTTCATGTACTTTAGTACTTTAATAAAATACTGCACTGGTCATGTCACTCTGCTTGTTCTTTTTGACTTTTTCTAACAGGAAAATATATTTTGCTAATTTGTGTTTATGTACAATTTTCTACTTGCACAAGCAATCCTCCTGTGCCGCTGCACTTTACTTTACAATATTTCTATTCTATACTATACATACTTATCTGGGTTAACTTTTCATCTATCAGTACTTTACTTTACTTTTCACTTTCACTCCACTACAGAAATCAGTTAAAGGTCCAGTGTGTAAGATTTAGGTGAAAGGGAACTATTGTCAGAAATTTAATGTAGAATAATCCTCATGATGTTTTCATTCTTTACCCCAGAAAGGCCCTTTATATTTAAATACTTTATATTTACATCGAGGGGGTCCTCTCACTACGTTTTTTGACATTAGTCCAAACTGGACAAACTAAACACCTTATGAGTTTTTATGACAATTAAAGGCTACCACAGGTTCTTTTTCATGTTTGGAAGGAGAGGATGAGGTGAGGGGTGTTCAGCTGCAACATGCAATTTCAACACTAGATATCACAAAATTCTACACACTGTACCTTTAAGTGTATTTTATTCACTTCAGAAGAAAAATCTGCAGTTTTTCTGAATCAATTCGATCATTTTCTGTTTTCAAGAGACAAAGAAGAGAAAGAGACATCAATTACATTTCTTTGTCATGGGGGTTTGAAAACGACATAAGAATCATTGCCAATTTTAGTCATGTGTTTTGTTTTTATGCATCAGCCGATATTTCAGTATCACAATGTTTTTACTCCCTAATATCCGTCCCTAAACATCCATATCATTCAGGCCCTGGTATGAATGTCATATATGATGCAAATACTTGATCAACAAGTTTTTTTTAAAACACCAAACATAAAAACCTCTTTCTCTGCCTCACTGTCTGTGAAACCATCATGAGTTTTGATTCCCAGTGGAGCACATTTACAGTCTGTCTTCGGTCGTGCAGACTGGTGGAAACATCCAGAACAAATGAGTCACAGCAACTAAACATGGACTCTCACAAATTAAACAGGCGGCTGCTGCTGTGAAACCACAGCTGTGACTGCTCACATTTTTCTGCAAATCATGTGTTTAGGTCAAGATGAAAAAGCTTCATTCAATGGAGATTTAAATGAAAAATAAAAGTTCTGATGTACGCAGGCAGAGACTGTTTAAATTAGCTCCAACACAAAAGGAAAACTTGTCGCTTTATCAAACAACAATGAAATCAGAGATGATTAATGAGTGTGGACTCAACGAGGTGTGTGATTTTCTGGAAATCTGTGTCGACAGATCCAGGAAATCGAGGCCTGAGCAAACAGTGTTTGTACAAAGAGCGATCGGAGAAGTTGTTGGTGTGAAAGTCAAATATGCAACACATGAAAAAACTGTCCCTGCAGCTCCGAGGCCTTCAGGTGACTCAGTCCAGAGTTTCAAAGTTTCCTTCTTGGTCTCAGAATCTGTCTCCTGTTATTTCCAAGCACAGGGCCAAATGTTGCCTTCAGGGAGTTTCCCATAAAGTCGTATATTCCACCATCCGAAGTCTTAAAAGCCCTTTTAACGTGGTTATTTGCTTGTTTATTGGATTTGTTTATCGTATTTATATATTTTCAATTATTTTTTTAAATTATTGGTGTTTTGTCTGTGGATGATTCATTCAGAATTGACTGAAACACTTCAGTAGTAAAACGTCAGAGAGCCTTTGGAAGAGTTGTGGCGTGAATGAAACAGGAAGTAAATACACGTATCTTCAAAATAAAAGTCTAGTCTTCGGTACTTAGAAGGGTAGGACTATTTACCATTATGTATATATTAACTTTTCTGCAGGCACCATATGAACAACGGATCTTCACTGTTGTCTTATCTTCACTTTGTATTGCTGAAAAATGATGTGAATATGATTGTTTCTACATATTATTTATATTTTAGTTATTATTGATAAATTGCCATTTCACTCAAGGTTTTATTCATAATAAAATTAAAATTCCATTATCGACGCACTTCTGCTTAGTAAATGACTTGAATCAGTTTCCTCTTAATCTGTTGTTTGTCTCATTGAGTAAAAGATCAACAGACTTAAAATATTCACTTCTACTAGTTAATGCATTTTGATTCTCAAAGACTTACAATCCAGAAAAGTGTGTTGTTGTTTTTGTGGATATCCATCTATCCATCTATCTATCCATCTATCTATCTATTCATCTATCTATCCATCTATCTATCTATTCATCTATCTATTCATCTATCTATCCATCTATCTATCCATCTATCTTTAGTGGTTTATTTTGGTGGGAGCTGAGTTCCTGTAGTTAACACATGTAACTTGACAGTGGTGGTTGGAGGAGTATTAAAGCTGCAGCCACTCAGACATAAACAGCTGCGGGTTCCTGAAGGAGTGACATCAGTGACATCATGACGTTAGACAAAACGTCCCGCAGCCGGATGACAGTGACGGAGGTGGAGGCGTTTCTGCGGGAACCTCCGGCAGGTTTCACCGTGGAGGAGGCTCCAGGTTCGGGTTACCGAGTCCGCAGTGACCCGGAGAAGGTCCTGGTGCTTATCGATGACTTCCAGAGCTGCAGAGGGAAAATAGTTTTCCAGAACTCGCCAGGAAGGTGAGAGGAACAGAGACTTCATATATGATGGGATAAAAAAATAAAGATATATATGACTCTTTGCCTTATACACAGAGAAACTCACTAGAAACTCTCTGATTTGTTGCAGGAAGGTTAAGATGCATGATCTATGGGAGTACACCAGCATGAGAAACAGCCTCCTGTCCAAGAGGATCTACCTGCTGACGTCTGCCTGCCAGGAAAACGTCTCAGCCAGCAACAAAAAGGCAGCGAATGAAGTGAGAGGTGACTGAACCTTTTCATCAGCATGAATTTACAGTGTCATCATGCAGCGGAAAAATAAATGGTCTTTGAAGGCACCACTGGCATTTCTGTGTGCAGTTTGGTTGCTCGGGTGACTCATGAAGCTGACCTGCTGACTCTGTTCGGAGTGGGCGAGGTGGAGAAATAACAAAAGACAGCGCAGCACTTTGGTAGCTCACATATCAAGAAGTTTTCTTCAGTCCTCTGTGCTGGTTTCCTCATGGGTGATTTGTGTTTCAGTGCTGCAGCAGTACGTGGTGTCCATCGACGGCAGCGACCCTCTGATCAAGTGGCAGCTGGAGCGAGGCCTGGACTGGACCATCTCTTCTGTCACTGGAGAAAGCTACAGGGTGGATGTGAGCAGGACTTTAACAACCTATGTCCATTGATAACGTACAGATGTGGGCCGCTTTAGGCGATGATGCAGCCCATTTGTTGCCTCTTACCCACTAAATTGCAAATGACCCAAAACAAATGTTGACCTGACATCGCATGGTGTAATCTGGATGTGAACAGAAAGTGGCCCATGTGGTAAATGGTGGTTACGATCCAAATAGCTAAAAACGTACTCAGGCCACCTTTGGTTGACCAGCGGTATTGCTATAGCCAGATCTGGGCCACAACAATCTTGCCACGTGGGTGTATTTTGCTGATGACTTCCTGATTTTCCTTATTTCAGATCGACTTGACTGAAACGCTTGAGAGCTGGGCTGCAAAAAACATCCACAAACTACTAAAAGTCGAGCCCTTGTGGAGAGACGCCTCCTTCACCCTCAAATACTACTCTGACGCCCTCTTTGATTTCCCTCACTGGTTTGGCTTCAGCAAAAGAAGCTTCAAGGTAATTGACTAATATTCTTCTCATTACATATTGAAATCAGTATTTTTCTGGATTTGTCAGCATGCTCAGGCTTCTCTAACCCTCCTTCTCTGCTCATATCTCTGAAGTTGAGACTGACATGACCCAGCAGCAGATGAAGATCTGGGATAAATGGAGAGTCTGCTGAGTGTTTGGAGGCGTGAACTGAAGAAAAGGGAGTTTCTTGATGGACAGACGAATGGCTTTAATACCAAACTGCCAGTTCTGCCTCTTTGGACGGGAGCGTGGGTCTGAATACTTCTTGAGTTTAGCGGATGGAAACTACAAATGGGGACTGACAAGGAAATTCAGAATGACCGGCAGATTATTATAGTGAAATCATATGTTTGAATAAATGTTTTTTTAAAAGATGTTTGTATTGTATTGTACGTTTAAGAAGTTTCAGAGGTTTTCTTTTTTATTTTAACTCAAATACAATAAATGCTCTTGCAAAACAAATACAATAACCTGCTTTAATGCAACAGTTGTCATCAGTGAAAAGATAAATGAGTGCAGCTGTTGTGAAGTGCACGACACTACGGGATGAGGAGAAGAGCAGACGCGGCGTTGGTGATGGTTTGCACGTGCTCGTGATAGTCGTTGCCGAAGAAACGCAGCAGCAGGTAATTGAAGATGCCGACGACGCACATCAGGAACAGGAAGGAGATGATGCGTTTTCCAAACAGGTAGCCGGGGGTGCTGCATGAAAATACAAAAAATTTAAGTTACACCACATCACTTTCAAAACACACACAGACCCCCCCTCCCCCCCCGTGGCGTGTTGGTTTACCTTTGGGAGGTTTGTCCCAAGTATCCGACAAAGTACTTCTGCCTGACCAGGAGGTAGATGATTCCAGCGAAGGCGGCAGGAGCTTCAAACAGATGAATAAATCAAACATTAAATGATGACAGCTCCTCTAAAGTGAAATGTCTCTCTGGTAGCTGGCTGCAGCATGGACACAGCCTCCCTCCATGTTAGCGGATGGGACATGGACCAAACCAAAAAGTCAAAATATATGTTAAATATTTTCTCAAAGACAGTTTCTGTCATTTTAGATTGTTCTGATCACACTGATGTTTGTTTAAGTTCTCTTTATTTGGTTCTAGTTATTTAATTCTATAAAATAATGCTGATAATGCTGGAGACATGCGCTTGTGGCTCATTGATCAGTAGAAATAGATCTAGTGATTCAAATTTCTAATGATCACAACATTATCAAAACCTCTTGTACGTCTACCTGACCTTCTTAAGCAGCACTGACTGGGGTGTGCGTCTGTTGACAGCACAAAAGTGTTTAAAGTAGATTATTACCTTGATTGAGACAAACGCCGGCACACCACATCACTGCCAGGAACGTGGGATACACGTCCATGCAGTTACGACTGGAAGAAAAGTAAAAAGGCTCCGTAAACAGTTTGTTTCATAAAGTCACGAGCAATGAGAGAGCGTGAAGCAATCGCCAGTCTGTCGGTGTGAGTGGCGACTGATACCAGGGCCCTTTCTCCTGTGACTGTTGGGAAATGTTCTGAAACTGCAGAGCAGAAGTGGCTTTGCCTAACTGTGCATGAGCTGCAGGAGCAGTTTGGTTTTCTGAGTTTGAAAGGAGCAAAGTGAAGAATCAGGAAGAGACTGAGGCCAGCGCTGGAGTCAATCAATCAGATCATGAACCATGTCCCGTTGGTCAGATGAGGTTTCACTTAAGGTCTTTGCTGCTTCATAGATGATATGATTAACCTGAGAAAATAACTGACTCTTTAATCAGAAATAAAAACCATAAGTAATTACAGACCTGTGTACAAGTCGACTTTGCCTCACAACAAACCACTTGTTTAGAACTTCACATCACTCCCAGAGCCGATATACAGCTTGACTGAGTTCTGATGGAGATCTGATACTTTGCGTTAAATTAAAATTTTGAGAAAGTTTGAGCCAAAACGTTTTGAAACAGGAAGTACGTTGTGGCTGATGTACTCATAGAGTTCAAGCACAAGCAAAGTCTGAACTGTTCTGTCAGGTACAAATACAGGAGTTACATTTATTCGACTTATTATTTTCATCATTATATTCTTCTGATTAATAAATTAATCGCACATTCTTTTAAATGTCAGGTGACCCATATGCTCTTAAAATCACAAAACACTACAATTCTTATGCCTGGCTCACCGAGTCAGCTTTATAAGTAATAAATAAAAATAGAAAATAAGAAACTTAGGCAAGAAATATATTATCAACTAAAAACATATAATATGAAATAGACTATGCAGTTTAGAATTAATGCACAAAATGACACTGAATAATTGGAGTATTGCACCAAAAGAAAACCAGGAAATACATTGTCTTCTGCTAAATTAATGAATATTACATCACACATTGTTCAGTATTCAGGTAAAAACAGTCTAGAGTTGACTAACACTTATTTGCCAACCAGTTTTGCAATAAGCGTGAAAGTCAAAATTGGGACACTTGCTGTTATGTTGCATGTGAAAGACTCTGTCCACAGAGTCGTACTCGCTCTCGACCTGTGAATGATTAAAATGTCCCACCTGAGCGAGAAGCTGGAGAACAAATTACCTTTGTTGCTTTCCCAGCAAATATTCAAATCTGTATTGCTCTGTAATGAATGTTCCCCTGTGTGTGAGGCAAATGAGGACTGTCTCTCACTGAGCATCATAATCAGAAGGATGCAAAATTCAGTGCAAGGTTTTTACAAGGAAATAAATACAACATAGAAGTCACTGCGTCACTTGCGTCAGTGTTTGACTGTGAGAGAGAGAAAGACACTTACTTGGCACAGGACACTCTGTCAGAGGCAGGTGTGTGGGTCATGCATTCCTTCTCTACCTTCTGGGCAAAGAATGCTGAAAACATTGACAAATAAAAAACAAAGAAATTAAATGAATTCATGTCAACACTTCTAATATATTTTTAAAAATCTGTTATTAGAGTCAGAAGCTGCTTCTCTTCTCTCCTCACCGTTCTGGAGGACGCTGACGAGGGTGACGATGACCAGGAGGTAGATGTTTTCCACCACTTGGTTGGAGTCCATGATCGATGCTGAGGCTGAGGGAGGCTGGGAGTGAATGTACGTTCACTGTCGACAGCAGAGAATAAACATGATGCTTCCCTCCACCACGTCACACACACGCACACACTTTTTTGTGGCTTCCTCTTTATGTAAATGATGCTTTCTCTAGGTGTGTGTTTGTGTGTTTGTGTGTGAGGATGGCTTAGATGCAGACACAGTTTCATAGATGGATATTGATAAATACTTAATTTATCCCGAGGGACATTTAGAAAGGTTTTGCAGTTAAATCCATGCAGCTGTTACTTTGTATTTTGGTTTTCCAATCTTCTACTCTACTCTGGAGAATTTCAACCAAATAAGCAAAACTAATGCAATTTGTTTTTTGTCACAAAGAAATCCCAATCACCTCAGGCTCTTCAACAATTTGAAATTGTCATTTTTAACCAGACAAACAAATAAAAAAATGTTTTAATCATTATATTAATTGTTATTGGAAATCCCTGTGTTTTCAATGTATGATGCAAGTTTTCCATGTGTACAGCCTTTTGTATATTCCATCTTACACAGCAACCTTGTGGAGCAGCAATATTCATGGAAAACTGGAAAAGCTTCAGAATAAATTCAGAATTTTCCAAAATGCACAAGTGCGAGCCACATGTTTGTGGCTATAGAGCAACGTCTCCCCCTTTCTACTCTGCTGAAGAATTTCATGCAAAACGTGGGTCTGGACTGAAATGATAATAATTAACCAAGTGAACTCTGAATGTGCAGATCCAGTGACATTTGTTGTGGTTGGTCAAACAGCACCTGCACGTGCATCTGAACGGAGCTGCAGCTTCCTCTTAATGTCATTTCTCTGAAATGAAATTATTAAAACCATTAAAGCCCTGTCCCCAAACCTGAGCTGTGTTCAGATAAATCCAACAGATAAACTGCTCAAATACAAATACATAAATAAATTACTGCTGTTTTGTTGAGCTGGAGTTATTTTTATTATTATCTTTTATTTATACTTTTATTTCATTCATTCACCAAACAAAACCATTTAAAAGCACACAACACACAATCCCAAATCTTGAAAATAAAAGGAGAAGAAAAATCTGAGCCTCCTTCACGAGACATGAATTCACATGAATTAAAAAAGCAAAAGAAATGATTAAAGTCACAAACTGAAAGTAGCTGCAGCCCCTCACATTCCTCTTTTAGTTATAAGAACTCACATTAGAGAAGCTCACAGAATTAATTGTCAACAGAGCAAACACGTTGTGTTTCCTCAACATTCTATATGTCACATTTAAAAACAAATTCCACCCGCTTCTCCCGCCACGGTGTCCCATATGGTCTAGCGGTTAGGATTCCTGGTTTTCACCCAGGCGGCCCGGGTTCGACTCCCGGTATGGGAACTGCTCTTTTTCCCTCCGGTGGAAGTTTCCTTCAGCGCGTTGTCATTTCATGTCTGAACCTGTGAACACGTTGAAACCTGTTCAAACAATCGAGTTTCTGTATTTTAAATATTTGTGAGTTGTGTTGCTCTGCCTGCAGCTGCTCAGGTTTCCATGCCAACATGAGATATTTTTGTAAACAGTAAATTAGTTAATAGGTTTTTTCAATGTATTGGGTGGAACATAGTTTTTAAACTCTATTTTATAACACGATGATTTCTAGTGAGGACAATGATTTCAACATGTCGAACAGAGATTGAGATTCCTAATAATTCACATTTAATGTCTGACTGGCATTATCACCTACATCTTGGTAAATAAAAGATTAATACTATCTACGTGTAATTTAGTTTTTATATTTTCCTCTTGAGCTAAAAACAAATGAGTCTCCGGTTGATCTGTACTAGAACTTCAAGAGTTGAGTACTTGGAATAGATTCAATTGTGTGATTCACAGATTCAAAACATGCACATGCAGTAATGTTAATGCGCAGAAACAGAATATATAAATATTCCATTCCTCAGCAAGTATCCAGAAAGGTGGATTCAATGAAATGTATGCACGTTTTCTAAATGTTGAGTCAAAACATTTCTCACAATTTGTACATATAAGAGTATTTATTAAACGACCCTAAAAAAAGAAACTTCGTCCCCAAGAACTTTCAAGTGGTTTTTCAAGAAAAACAAAACAAACAAACAAACAAACAAACAGCTTTGGCTGAAAACACGACAGCTTCATACAACCTCGTTCATACAGTACATGCAAACTACAAAAGTGCAAGAGTTGGAGAAAACTCATCAAAATGCCGTCAGCAAATTTTGTTCAACAAATCATAGCCAACATTGTTGACACATTTAAACTTCATGAAGTTATTAGAAATTATCAATTATACTTTTACAGGCAAATAACATTTTCATGTGGGTTTGAACCCGATCAGAAGCGTTTGATAAAATCTGAAATCATTGTCAGGTGGTTTATTTGGAGCGAGATGTGCATTCATTTCCCTTAGTGCATTAAACAAAAGATATAACTTAATTTCAAGAATCTAGATTCTTCTTTTATGATACAGCCTTTATTTTATAAAGATATCAGTTTGTGACTTAAGGCTCAATCAGTGGATAAATGTGTTATTGTCAATTTGAATAAGGATCAAACCTAAACCATGGTCACTGTGCTGCGACTTTACAGTAGTTTCAATGAACAGTTTTAACCACGTTGCCGTGTGTGGTCTTGATAATAGCGTCACTAATTGTCAAGCATAACGCACATCTGTGTGTGTAGTGTGGGAGAGAGGATAAAGAGAACGACTAAACCAAACGAACCAGAGAGAGAACGACAATCAAGAATTTGGTGAGATGTTCATTAGCAACTGATCTTAACACATCTTGGGTTTTTACCAAATCGTTACTGGCTGCAAGAACCCATTCCTCCTGATTGATGAGGTCCCGATATTTAAATGACAACATTTTGCATAATTTTCTCAAAGCAGTTAGTCAGTGTGGAAGTTATCAGTGCAGCAGTGAACACGTATTTCACGGTTCACATGAACAGATCGAGTGCACTTAGATCCTCGCTCTCCAGCCCGGTCGGCTCTTGAGCCACAGCCTGAGACAGAAACTCGTCCATAAAGTTTTCAGTGTCGGCCCCGTTCATAAAAGCACTTGCCTGCGACACTGCCCCACCGGCGTTAACCCCGTAGTCCAACTGGTTGACTCCACCCTGTCCTTTGGCGAGCATCTCCAGGAAGTCGGTGCTGTCTGGCGACAGGTTGCTGGCTGTGGTCGCGGGTGAGAGCAGATCTGAGAGGAAGTCGCTGCAGGTGGAGCCGTCGTACGTACTGGAGCTAACAGTGTTGGGAGAGCTCAGGTCAGTGCTGTGTGGTGGGAGGATCGCTCCCTGCGGATGACCCAACATTTGATTCAGCTTGGCGAGCTTCTTCTTCTTCGCTTTCAGTTTCTTTTGCAGCTTGTAGCGGAGGGCGTCCGTGTCACTAAGATCTGGAGGAACCTTCGAAGACTTAGGGTGCCCGTTCTTTTTGGGCGTAGGGACGAATGCAGAAGGCACCAATGTTGTGTTCATTAGTGGTTTTTGGCAGAGAGAAGTGATGGGTGAAAACGGCATTGTTTGTCCACTGAGAGGAGCGGGGGACGCGAGTGGACTCGGTGCGTTTGAGCTCTTGGTGCCGAATCCACCGTACATTTCTGCAGCTTTCGGAGGGAGACTGTCACTCTCCTCCGTCCTGAGCTGGGGTTTCGGGAGGATTCCTCCGGGAGTCTGCTGCTGTCTCTTCACAGGTTTGGGGATAGAGCGAGAGATGGGAGTGGGTTTCACCTGTGTGGCCGAGGTGGGTGTGAAGGTGGGGGTGAATTTTGCATTGGACTTGGTCACTGGGTTTAAAGGGTTTTTGCTGAGCAGGAAGGACCAGCGGGCATGCTGAACTAGTGCTGGTTGCATTGTGGGATAGTTCTGACTGGTACCAGTAGAAAGCGAGGGGGGCGTTGGCACGGCAGTTTTAGTTGGTGGCGTTTTCTCCTGAGCTGCAGCGGCCTCAGGTTTGTCACTGGTTACTTTAGAGGGCTCAGACATCACAGGTTGTGAAACAGGTGGAGTTGCTTTTTTATCTTTTTGTCTACCGACAGCTTTGCCTCTGCCCGTTCCTCTACCTCGTCCTTTCCTGGCGCCGGGCACATACGTCGGATCGTTCAACGAGCCGTCCCCAGATTCAGTGTCGGAGATGCAGGGAGGATCGGCATCGGGGGGGTGACACATCTCACCACCTATTACGGCAGAGGAGCTGTCCGGTGATGCATCGAGCGTTTGGTTCTTACAGGGGTCGTTCAAATCCTGAGTCTGCTTGTCGTCATGTGCAGGCGTCATCTCTGAATCCGTTTTTAACTCCACCAGCGTGAGTGTGATGATGTCGTTGTGGCTGAGGCCCTCGAAGGTTTCGAGCAGCGTCGTGGAACCTATCGATGTGTCGGCTGGAATGGTCGTGTCCATGATGTTGCTGCTCAGCACAGAGATAATGTCAGTGTCGTGATGTGTGAGGAGAGACTGATCGGGGGAGCAAACCAACACTTCATCTGCTGCTATGTTTAGAGTCGGGCTCTTCTCAGCTCTCGATGGGGGAGAGTCAGTAAATGTGCTGGAGGGAGAACAGAGACGAGGCTCTTTATCCTCCTCCACTTCCCAAAAGACGATGTGCATCTCCTGGGCAGGGACCGGGAGCTTCTGATGGGTCTTACATCCTGGATGTTTCAAATCATCGTATTCCAGCCACGACCCTGCGAGGAACAGGAACACAGTTACAGAAGTAAATCAGCATGTGTGGGCTGCATGTTTATACAGATGTGTTATGATTACAACCCAATACTCACTCGGATCAATCTTGATTTTTGAGGTTTGCTTCATACCTCAGTTTTTCAGGCTACATCCATACAACTATATATTTTTTTAATTGTTATTAATGTTTTTTCAAACTAAAACGATCCCTGTCCACACAAGTGTTTTGGATCCATATCAGTTTAGAAGAAAACGCAACAACAGAGTTTTCAAACTAAATAACAGGGCGAGCAGCGTTTCCAAAATCATTTTCCAAACTTGGGAGTAGCATGGACTCCAGGCGTATCTGTAGCGGAGTTGATGAGCCTCAAACTCTAGGTTATTTGCCAACTTGAGCTTATTCAACTTGTCTAACTTTTTTCATCAGAAGCAAATTGGTGGATGTTTGTTATTCGGTGAGTTTTGGTCTCAGCTTCAGATTTGTTATAGCTCTAATAATAATATAATAGCAGCTTTTTTAGAAAAATATTTGGTTTAATGTTTTCATTGAGATCAATCATTTCTTTCAAAAATGGCAGAAACATACAAAACGAGAGAAATCTCAAATAACAGATTTATAATAAAAATCTCATTTAGAAAGCCTCATCAATTGTTTTGTTAAAATATCTGTTTAAATTCTGTATAAATGACTGGATCGACATCTTCAGGTTAACATAACATATACTGTCCAGCAGAATGTGCTGTTGGGAAACTACAACGTAGAAGAATTCAATTATTAACCTGCATGCCTCATGTTCATGGTTTCCTACCACTAGCAAATGTAGGTTAGAATTTGACAGCTAAAAACAAGCTCCATGACATTTTATTTAACTGATCCATGAAAATGTGAAAATCTTCGGCAAAGTAATTTATTTGCATTTAAAGTTTCTCTCTTGCAAACAAACCAGACGAGTGAACTGTAAAACAAGTTCAGCATACCAAGGACTTCTTTTAAATTCCTGACTTCACTGAGCACAACACTGATCGTCCTCCATAACCTGTATCACGAAGCTGGCTATCAACAGCCTCAGTTAATCCTGCCCTTTATTGTCCTGCTCTTAATTACAGCTGCTGAATGTGGTATGAGAAGAAACACAGAGAGCTGCAGGTATACTGGGTTAAAGTGACCATCAGTCAGTATTATCAGTAAGGGAAATTAATCAAATTTCATATCATGAGTATTATTGCTCTTTTGTCTGAATATGCAACTGATGCACAAGCACACAGTTGAACACCAGATAGTTTCTGCTGAAGAGAAGAAAAGTCTGATGAGCTCAATCTGACTGATTTTATTGTGTCTGAAGATGAGGTGAGCCAAGGAGCGACTAACCCTAAAAAAAAGCCACGTTTACTCTCAAACTACAGCAGAATCATTGAGTGTCCATAGTTTTTAACGACAGGCAGGGTACTGCAATAAATTCTGAACGTTAACTTAATCAAGACCAGATTTAAGATATTTTAAGACATGAAATTCAGATTTTATACCTTTTAAGACCCTGCAGGAATTCATTTGTATTAAACAGTGCATAAAGCTTTTCTAATAAAAGACGTTAGACCCTATTATTATTATCTTCATCACAAATTCTCATGTTATTCTGAGCTGCTGAGACAGAATAAGAGTCACAGCACTCACACTGTCAGGAGTCCTGCTGAATTAAAATGAAGTGATCGTTGTTCTACAGTGTGATACAATCACCTCGTTTGTTAGAAGCTCTTTTTTAAGAGTGGACAAGTGGAAAGTCTGTAAAATAACATTGACAAATATTGACCTGATCCATAAAAATATCGTTCATACGTCACTCTTACTCATTTGTTGTTTTGAACTGATGCTCAGATGTTTAACCTGCTAACCCGCCCCGGAGCAGGTTAGGCGTAGCATAAGTTACCATGATGACATACACAGTACAGGCCTCAGGCAGGAGAACCAGATATTGTCCACATTTCATTTTCATCAGTCAAATGAAGGTAATAACCCAAGGAGAGATACCCACCGTCAGAACGACTCATCCAGGTGACAAAGTGCTTCAGTCGCTGGTCGTACTGTATGACAGTGGTGACCGAGTATCGTCTTCCTTTGAAGGTGAAGGTGTACATTCGGATGTCACTGTCAGGGAGCCCCTCGACAAAGTGCAGCATAAACACTGGAGACACACTAAACGAAACACAAAGCAGGAATCTGGTTAAGCAGATGTTTGGTTCATGTTTTGTTTTTTTAAAATACTTGACAAACACAGTTTAAACGAAAGCTTCAGGACCTGTATTGTTGTTCTCACTCCTCCCAATACACATACAACGTGTGATTACTCGAGCATGTGTGTGAGTATAAGGCAGCAATATTTGAAATTTTATTGTGATCATTGACATTTACTGATAAAAGCACAATTTTACTTGCCCTGGCAGTTTGTTACTGTGACTAGACAGACAATTAAAGTTAATTGGTTAATCCGTGGTGCAGATATAGAGGCACAGTTTCTTTATTGCGTCATTTTGTTTGTTTAACCTGAAGATTTCAGTTGAAAGTTTGTCCTTTTCCAATAACACAACAGACTCTTCCGAGGGTAATCTATTTGACCTCCATAGAGTAATACCTTATGTAGTTAATACTGTGCGTTAAAACGTTGTTGACAACCTGTAATTTTGTCCTGAGTTTCAACACCTGCAGTGTAATCATCTCCTAAAGCTACAGTTGTAGGTTAAAGTGTGGGCACCTGCTAAATGACATGTTATGTTGATAATTGTGGTGAAAAGAAATTACTACAACCGATGCTTTTTATGTCACAACTTATAAAAATAGAGGTGACAGATTTTCACCCAGCCTGACTCTGCTCGCTCAATTTGTCTCACGCTGACACATGCACTCTCACACACACACAATCAGTGTGATCGGACACGTGTAAACTTAGACGGGGTACAATGTATGAAGAGCCCGAGGAGATGACGGGGCACACTCGGTTTGGCTCGATTCGGTTGAATGATAGTGACACAGAGAGGAGCAATAGATACTGACTGAGCTGAGGGAAAAAAGTTAATAGAGGCGTCCACCTCGCAATTCTCAAAGTAGGAAAACTTTCAGTTATAGCTCAATGAGTGTAAGAAAACGGCAGCATGCACATGCAACACACACGCATGCACGTGCACACACACGCAACACACACACCTCAGTCAATACAAAAACTGAATTCCCATAAAGTCAATATTTCAACAATAAAACAAAGAAGTCTCACTTCTCCAGTATCATCGTCCTCTTCTGGTTCTTTCTGCAGCAAACATTGCACGGAGCCAGATGAACTGCATGAAGTGGGCTCCAATCAGGCTCAATATTTGTGAAGGTGGGAAGAGTTTTCATGACCCTGAAAAGTACAGCATGAATTATATTTAGGTTTAAACAGTTTCAGGAAGATAGCAATTTTCCACAAAAGAAAACGTCCATATAAATATTATTTTCTTTACAAAGTGGCGTCAAGGCTGTGTAGTTGTAGTATGTAAGATGAACTTGTATTAGCTGATGAATTCCTCTGAGTGTTTACCCGTTCTGTTTGTTTGTCAGATTTCACAATAAACCACTGAAAGGATTTCCAGGAAATTTTGGTGAGGATCCGGACTGAGGTGTGGATCCAGGATTTTTCTTTCTCCACTCTTTTTAACATTGGGAGACAAGGTACTTGGACATTTTCACAGATTACCCAGATAAAAATAAATCTTCATTAAAAGAATCAGACATATTCAGGGGACTGATATCCATGAGTGTGAGTAATCTTATGCAGATCCAAAGAAGAAATCTAGTGAATTTAAACTTGGTGCCATAAGAGGACTATGGGCGTTGGTGGAGGTATACGCTTATTCTAGTTTAGCTATGTTATTTGTCATAAAACATGTAATAGAAAACTTAATAAGAGTGCGGTTAAAACTGAACAATTTAGTTTGGGTGCATGTCCCTGATAGACTGAAGAGTGAGCTGTCTGATGAAAACAAAACACTGTCCCTGTGAAAGCTTCCTCCAGCTTAATGCTCAAAATTTTTGCCTTTTACTCAACTGGCTGAATACCAGAACAAATTTCTTAAGTAAAAATGTTCATGTTCACTTACACTCACATAACAGTTTTGCTTTTGTCCCTCCTCTGTCCAATATAACTGAATAACCTTGAGTTGTGTACTATTGGTTAGACAAAACAAGAATATGAGGATGTTGCCTTGGGTTCTGAGAAACTGTGATGGACACTTTTCAACATTTTAATCTTCACAAGGTTTCTCAGTTTATGCATCTGGTACAGAATCATGATCGGCTCGTGGTAGCATAACATCACCAAAACATGACCAAGCACCTTTGGAGAGAACATTTCTACCACTAGAGCTCTGTGCAGTTCACTACATTTTTAAAATGGCTTAATTGAGTATGCTTTTCTTTCTCTCCAGACATGTCGCTAATAACCAGAGCTTAATGAGCTGAGAGTTTCACACCATTATTAGAGATAAATCAACAATCCACTGTCACTTCAGCTGAAACCAAACATTTTTAACAAAGAATTTAAACCAACCAATTTGTTTATTTTCTCATTCCAGACACACATGAGACAGAAAGGACCCTCATCCAATGGCTACAGCACATTGACAGATGTATTTCTTCCCACCAAGTTTCCAAATCGAAGACAAAGCTCTAACGTGAATCAAGCGAATGATATAATCATCACCTACCTTTCTGAGAAAGTTGCTCTACATTCACTGCACTTGAACTCCCACCGAAAGGTCGACTGGAAGAGAGGCTCCGCCCAGGAGTCCAACGCAAGCAGAAGCGGCATGGCGAATACCGGAGTTTCTCTCTGACCTGAAAATCCAAAACATACAGCGGTTTGAGACAATAACACGTCCACTTACAAATCATCGGTGAACAAGATGGGGTTTCAAGTTGCGTGGGTCTGCACACATGCAATTGAAAAGTATGTCTCTTTGACTTTATCTAAACAGCATCTCCTTTGCTTGCACCATCACTATCCTTCTGTATATTTAATTTCAAAGAGGGATTCACGACACAGAAAAACATTGTGTTCCAGTGAGATGTACAAAATATGAAGCAGTTGAGGCAAATAGGGCTTTAGTTGTTGCGAAGATCTTATGTTTTGTGATTACATTGTGATTTTTCATGTGATTACATTTTGCAGATGCAATTTGGCAACAACAAAACCTGACTAGTCCTTTGTATACTTCTTTTTGTCACAGTAATCTCTTTGGCAAAAAGGTGGCATTAGGGTATATGAAATCTAACATTCATGAACAGAAGGCTTGAGGGGCCTTGGGAGCATTGTGTTGTGTGGTTTGAAAAGCATTCGCTCAGACAGCTCTCCCTTGCTCACAGCCGCTTGGCACTGTTTGCATGTTGTTGCTGATCTAACACTGGTTTCAAATTAGTGCTGGTGACTCCACAAATAGAGTGCAAAGAAATGTTTTCTTTCTTTATCTTGATTAACTTCTTTGCATTCATCAACTTTTCTCCATCTTTCTGGGAGAGTCTGTTCTTTATTCTCTTGCCCCAAAAGGAAAATATGTGTTCATGAAACGGATTTTAAAAAACGAACTTCACCGGAACAATGGCTGATTTCGAGATCAACGTTTTTGTCTCGTCTCTGTATTATAACAACTGTGAAATTATCCCTCTGCTTCATTAAACAATCTCCACACCAAGCTGAGAGAAAGGACAAGAAAACAATGATGAAGTGGTGGCTCAACAAATCACTTGAATTTTTTCCTCTTGCTTCTCTCGTCATGAATAATAAAAATGTACACTATCCTGAGCAGAACAAGCAGACATAAACCTCATGTGACACATACTCGCTCAGGATGCTTTTCTGAGCAGCAGTATTCCTGACACCAACACTATGGTTGTGGCACCTTTAACCACCACACACCTGAAATGGTATGACGGTTGGGGTTAAGTTTTCGCCCCTGTCCATTTGTTAGTTTTCTTATGTTTAAGCAGGATTACATAAAAACTAGTGAACTGATTTCCTTGAAACCTGATGGATGGATGGGACATGGGCCAAGAAAGGACTCTTAAGATTTTGCTGTGGACCTGAGCAATCTCTGACTTAAAAATATATTTATTTTTAATCTATTTCCTGGGGAATAATTCAGGCATCTTGATAGAACAATTTAAGACCAATAAAAAATTCTGAAACTATTTCTTTGATGAAGAGAATTGATTTAAACTATTTATAACCTTAATAAGATTTCAGAATAACAACACTGAGTGAGGGGAACATTGTAACACCTCCTGAGAGAGTGAAGAAATGTTTTAACGTTACACACACATTTTCTTTTTGTTGTTAATATCCTGTTGCAATTATTGTTATTGCCATTGTTGTTGTTGTGTCACGTTATGGTCATGCCAAGGTCTGCCAATAAAACTTCATTGACTTGAAAATAAAAAATCACTATTACATTGTGCAAAATTGCAGCGCTCACTTATCCTTTAGATTCACCTCACCACCACATAAGAAAGTTCTGATTTGCCACGGCGGGCCAGAGGGATAAAAAAAGGGGACCACCAGTGAATGTGCTTACCCAGCTTGCAGTGCAGCTTAGGCTGCAGCAGATTGAAGACTGACATCCTGAGACTATGTAGGTCTTTGCTAGCCGTTTGCAGCACATGACTTGGCACCCTCATCACACCATCTAGACAGAAAACAAATTCAGATAAGCAAAGTTCGCGTAAAAGCATTGTATTAAATAATTACACAAAAACATGATATCCGCCTCTCAAACATCTGCTGCCATCTCATTGTAATCACAAATACAATGGAGGTGAGTCATGTTGATGCATTTTTTTTTAATATAATAGTTAAATGTTTTTAACAGCACAAAAATAAATATTGGATCGAGATGGCAGAATAAACCACAAAGGTAGATATCTCAGACCACAACAAACTGCTAGGAAACATTTATGACCGTCCTTTTAATCGAAATTAGCAGTTTCTATTTAGTATGTTTTCTAAAACAAGAACAATATAAGCAATTACGAAATCAGTTGTTAGTGTTATGATGGTTGTAGGTGCACCCAGTTTAAAAAAACTTCAGTAACACGCAGGTAAGCTGAAGATCATCTTTAAACTTACCACTGTTGGTCTGATGGACTTGAACGGCAGCACAAACGTCCCCATATTCTCTCATCAGCTGCCAGACAGATGATCGCTGAGGCTCATCTCGAGGTTTACACTTCCTCAAGCTCCTACAGTTTATCAAAGCAGCAAGGAGCGAGTCCAGCCAACACAGCTTGTCCCTGTTCCGCCAGAAAAGCTGATTGGGAACCGATACAAACTCCTCCGAGTCGGTTAGTGAGGTAGGAGAAAAATCCTTAATTTCTAATTGAATGTCTGCTATGTCCTTGATGACGGCTGCAGTCAGAGATTTCTGCTTTGTTCCTGCTGTCTGCTCATTGAGCTGAAGCGATGGACCATTGATTTCAGTTGAAAAAATGCCCACATTTGTAAAGTTGGACTGATTGGAGACCAGACTGCTTTGTCTGTTCAGCACCTCAGGGTGACTCTTCACCTGCCGGGAGTCATCCTCTGCCTCTGACATAACAAGAGCAGCACAACGATCCCCACCAGCAGTCAACAAGGCTTCTGATGAGCTCTGCAGGTGTCCAGCTGAGGCCGAGTATGTAGGAGGAGTAAATCCCTCTGTACAGGCAGCACTGTCTGTTTCCATCTCCAGAACAACATCCTCAACTTGCAGCGATGCCCCCACTGGTGTCTCTGCAGCTGGACAATCAAAGACCCTGTTGTATCCATTAAGCTTTTCACCATCTGCCTCGGGTGCTGCATGTTGGCCATTACTGACGGTGTTTACAGCACAACGCTGTGCTTGGCAGTAAAGCGTGTCGGTAACATTTGGTGTCCCAAAACTATCAGGTTCACTTGATCGTGGGCGTTTGGGGGGGGGTTTAATCAGCTCTTCCTTCTCCAGTGGCAACAGGGTTTTTCTTTTGTTCCCAACTGTGGGCTCCACAGGAACCAAGCTAGCAAAAACATCCTCCAAGGAGTGACTGACCAGAGGGAAAAGGCACTATGTGGGGCATAGAAACAGAAAGGTTAACACAGAAGACAGGGAACATTGTTGTTCAGCAGAATGTTTGTGTGCTACCGCTGTGATGGGATGTACCTGTGGGTTTGTGCAGAGGGTGATTGACTCCTGGAGGTTGATGCGGTATGAGTGCAGAGCATAGGTTAAGCCCTTTGAAGTACACCAGGGACAATGCTCGAGTGATGCAGCTCTTTCCTGAATCTTTAAAGAAAAATGTGAAGTGACACAAACATTGTTTTAGTTGAGTCTGACATCTACAAACCTAAATTACCAGACACTTGCAAGACTGAAAAACACAAATCTTATTTTTGACATTTGAACACATACAAATCCGGCCCAATTACATATTTCTACCAACTCCACTGCTTCCAGCATCTCCTTCATTTTCCACCTACTGCCAGCAACCTTCATCATTTTATTCTTCCAATAACATTAAAATATATATTTGTACAATTGCATTAGTTAATTAGGAAGGTCTTACTTGGTTTGCCGTGCAGAAGTGGAGAAAACAAGTATGTGTAAGAACTGCTCAAAGTAACTGTCAGGTTTTAATGTTTGTTGTTTTTGTAGCCTCATATTTCTGCTCATCATTATGTGAATTCTCACAGCAGATGTGTGTAAAAATACATGAAACAGAAGAAAGCAGACATGTCTTTCAAATAAACACTCATATCATTGGAGGCTTCAAGCCTGCCTAAGAACTTTCGCCTTTTACTTTCAAAGATTTCCAACAGAGTTCCTTTGGTTAAATTTGGATTGGTACTGCCCAGTCACAGTGTTTTTCAAATGTAATTCAGCTTTGCGCAAGTGACCAGTGCGAGGAAAGCATGAGCTGTACTGACTTTTCCCAAATACCCCGCCAGTGGTGGGGCCAAAGACCCCAAACCAGTGTCTTCACCAGTCATTGGCAAACCCCCGCTGCTCTTCTGGTCCACAGTCGTCCTGTACCATTCAACAATCATTACCATGTCACTGCAACCTGGTGCACTTCTGAGGGAGCTGAGGGAGAAAAAACAGCATCACATGGCGCATGTTACTCAAAGTTCACAAATCATGACGTTTGCATGGTAAAGCTCTTCACATTCAGGTTGAAACATAAAACATTAGAAATTTGTCAACCAAGGTTTTACCTTTACTCTTATGCAGTGGAGACTATCCTTTTTATATCCGGTTATGTTGCAGAGCATGTTGCATGTCAACAGGCTACAAGGTGTATGGCAGCATTAACACATTTACAAAATGCTTGGATAAATTTCATGACGTACCTTAATTTGTCAGGTATTCAGCAAAGGTGCCACTCCAAACTGGTTATTATTAATATGTTTAATCAAGAGTTTCTTGTTTGAATATTCTGAAGGTTTACTTGATCTCAACGTAAACCAAGCGAAAACTGATGCAGTCAAAGGTTTTTAATTCACTTAATATAAACTTTTAATTAGGCGCTGATTCAACTGTATGACAAAGTTGGAGCTGTTGAGCTGTACTGCATTACACAGATGTGTTTCCAGCCTTCCCTCAGAGGAATAAAGAGGTTGGATCTGAAAAACTAGTTCAGCCAATGTAAATGATATTAGAAGAAATAAATGGGACGTTCAGGTGCAACACAAGTCCTCTGAAGGATACAGGTGCATGCTCTCACACACGAGGGATCATTCAGGCGGATATTTACACTGGAAGCACAACAACTAATGCAGGACTACGAAAACATCTGGAGTTGCTTTAACCAGTGTAAACAGCACGAACGACAAACTAATGCGAAACTAAAACACGCCATGGTTATAATGCTTAAGATTTATCATGGAGCCTGGCAGGTCACAAGGAAAACGGAGGGAACACGTTTCCTCGCAGATGCAGTCTGCGCTGCTTCATTTAGGAGAAAGATAATCTGATAAAATGCAAAGCACTGATTTCACAGGTTCCGCTTGAAGCATTAATGTTACAATAAAGTATTTTGGGTCCAATTGAATCCATTCAAAAGCCTCCACGCATCATGCTATTAGCCCCTGCAGCTAGCGACTAGCATGCTAACACATTAGCTTAAAGCGGGCGTCACTTTCAGTCGCCGCTGACTTATATTCCCACTTTGAGTGAATTAATATCGTACGTACCGAGCCCAGACGTTATATTCTCAGAGATATGCCGGTGCAATCCATTCACACATGTCTGCATTTGTCGTCTCCCGCCGGCGGAGCGAGTCCATGTGCGTCGTTTCGTCAGTTTCGTGTTGCAGACGTTCTCCTTCCGATGAGCCGAGCGGTTGTGCAGCGGCCTTTGTCTTCCCCCCGCCTATCGTGATGGACGGATGGTTCCGCTCAGCCCCACGCGGTCGCTCGGGTGAACTGCAGCAGCCTGCACTCTTATTGTTCATGATGGCGCTGCCGGGAAACCAGAGCAAACCGGTGCGAGTGCGTGGTTTGAGCCTCATTCTCATTTTCTACATTGCTTAATAACAGCAGCTCCGAATGTTCATTACCAGGGCTTTTGTCGAGATCCATATTTTCTAGAAAAGGAGATTAACATTTGCACAAATAGTCTCTATTTTGTTTATTATTCGACGTTATTTTTTTAAAAGAAGGAA